CAAAAAATTCGTTAGACTATTAAGTATCAATATTCACTCACAACCAAAACTTACATCACTTCGACACATTGTATTTGTATCTCCAATGTTGAATATAGAGTTTCTACAGTTAAACAAAATTCAATATATTGATAATCCGTCCAAAGCCAAAAACAATTAAAACTCCTGAGTCAATTCTTGAGCAGGGTAGTTGTTTAAATAGCAGTAAATCTCTCTCTTTGACAGGTCCTTGAAGTTTTCACAGCCGGGGCTAAGTGTTAAGTTAGTCACATACAGTATAATCCATCATCTTCATCAGAAGGAATGTTGTGTCCTTCAATTTCCCCTGGGTAGGTAATTAATAAACATATCTATCCACCAAAGGTCATATTTTACTTAAATTGACAGACACAGGGCTGCTATATAAATAGACAGGGCTCTTAAAAATAATCTTCACACTTTTTGACTCAAAGCTCATGTGACAATGTTAAAAAACTGCCCTTCAACACAGTTAAAAATTTTCACTTTTAAGTCCAATCACAGAGATCCTTAATTAAGATATTTTTTTCAGGGTTTCCAACACAAAAAACCCCAGACAGTATATTGCTATAATTAATATTGTATAATTGGTCATAAAACAGTCAAGGTAGACAAATCGACAAGTGACACTCACACGTGAATCTCACAGAGACACTATCACCAACACTCGTAAACTGACCACTTTATTCCCTCCAGAAGTTTCAGATATGTAAATATAAATTACCCTCCGTAATTATACAACTTGAATTGAAATATATTATGGTGCAATATAAAGATACTTGACTTCAAGTTTTGAAATAACCCAAAATTAAGTCAGAAAACTCTTCCTTTTCTCTGAATGAATTAAGAGAGACTCAAATGTTATAATTAAGACTCTCGTGTGATCACCATTCACTCTGTGTACATTTATTATTCCAAGTCATTAAGCTAATCAGTTAATTAATAGGAACACTTAGTGTGTAATGCAGGCAACTCATAACAAACCAGAATAAGACCTCCCTTAGTATTAATTACAATCCCTAAGTATTAATTACAATCCCTTAGTATTAATTACAATCCCTTAGTATTAATTACAATCCCTTAGTATTAATTACAATCCCTTAGTATTAATTACAATCCCTTAATTACAATCCCTTAGTATTAATTACAATCCCTTAATTACAATCCCTTAGTATTAATTACAATCCCTTAGTATTAATTACAATCCCTTAGTATTAATTACAATCCCTTAGTATTAATTACAATCCCTTAATTACAATCCCTTAGTATTAATTACAATCCCTTAGTATTAATTACAATCCCTTAGTATTAATTACAATCCCTTAATTACAATCCCTTAGTATTAATTACAATCCCTTAGTATTAATTACAATCCCTTAGTATTAATTACAACGAGAGTCAGCTATAAAGTACAATATTCTTTTTGGTCATAATTCTAAAATCAGAATTCAGTGCTCATGCATTTATATCTTTTCCCATTAGTTCGGTTTAATTTCATCAGAAAACGCATTAATTCACTCTCATTTTACCTATTTCCTAATAGCCTATAAATACTACTTTGCCAAAAGGGTGAATATGGTAAATAAATTAATATATAATTCCCTCCCTGTAAAACAATTTAAATGTGCCCCAAATAAAATATCCTGCACATGTATAAAACCACTGATAATATATACAAATACACCTAATACACAGTTCTTAACTCTCCTTAACAGACAGACAAATGGACAGGTGAACTCCTTGGTAGATTAATTAACATGTCAAGATTTTGGTCACACCTGAGACAGGTAACACACCTGTAAATACCTGTGTATTTACTGTCCACAAGCTACAGACGTAGATAATGATGGCTAACAGGTGATCAATTAATTACTGCTCCTGTATAATTACAGGACAGGAGAAATGTGTCACTGAGGTCAGGGAATTTATCACTGTAGGCATTAAATCTTAATAGACACTTACAAAAGGGGGGGGGGGGGTTTGTCAAATTTGTCACTGTTTTAAATAAATGATACATTTATAAAGAGTTAATGTAATGCATGAGTGAGAAAATGTATACATACTGGTATGTTAATTCAGTGAACTCCTTCAATACTGTAAGTAATTCACTTTAGCAATTAATACTAACCCTATAACCCTCAGAGCTGGCGAATCTGAAGGAATTCTTGAATTCTGTCTTAGCTAAATTTGAAGGACATGGAGTACTGTGTTCCTAACTAGTTACACCTTTATACTGAATGAAAAACAGACAAGGAATCGAAGCCAAGAGCAATAACTCCTGCAGACTTGTCAAGATATGACCTTGAAAGTTAAAAAAAATTCTTTCAACAAATCTGTAATACTGTATGTGTACTTATTAAAGTGGGCTTCATATTTAGTGGCTTTGGCGCTGACAAGGATGCGCTAATTCATGAATACTGCTAAGAATTCATTAATGAATACAATACATGGTGTGTGGATGTAATTTGCACTAATTCATGATTACACAAACAAATCAATACCCAGTAAATATGCTAAATTTTAAATATGTCAATTCATGTACACCTACAGTATTATGCAAAATAAGCAAAAGGGTCAGGGGTATATATATAAATCTACTTCCATCTTTCCCCAGACCATACGTTACTTTGGTTACAATATACTAACCATGCTCGGAACTACTGGATGACCTCCTCAGTATCATCCCAATAATATCCATGGCAACAGGGTTAAAGTTCACATTTATCATACATCACACAGTATGGTTCAGCACTTCACAAACTCTGTTCAAATCCAACCTCAAAGTCACATTTTCTGTTTCTAATTTTATAATTGTGGAATATACTGAATCATAAAAATGACAGATATCACATTGAATTTAGAAAATCTATAGATATAACCGGCTCTGCTCTGAATTTATAATCATTGGAACTGTTCTCTAATACGATGAGTTTACACTTTTGATGACTGCGATGATAGATTCAATGACAGCCTCTCTGACCAGAGACAGAATTAAATTCTATTGACTGATGAGGTGTGATATATTTACACCTCTTTACTGATATCTATCTAAGTTAGCTTTATAATTCAGATATCCACACTTGACAGGTTTTCTCATTAATTGTCCCCGATAGCGATCTAATAGTGTTATAATTCAGTCGTCAGACCAGATTCACACTTGATCAACGTCGCAGACAGATACCCGATGTTGATATAATTACGGGAATTAAACGATAACAATCTCGTCAACACAAACACCAGTGTGCAGTACTCTCTGTCGCTACAGTGACTGTATTTTTTTTAAATGTTCCAAGTTCTCCTGGCTGAAGTCAATATTTTAACTCATTGTCAATAATGGTTTGATTGAGTTGTGATCTGTGTGTGTCCATTGAAGCTTCTGTCAGGTGACAAAGAGCTGCTGGCTATAGTTAAAACACAATAAACCCACAGGCACAAAATCAATGGTCACAGACGTAGCAATTCAAATTACAATCTTCTTGTACAGAACTCTTTTGCATTTAATACCTATAGATCTGATGAGAATGCTTTTTTAAATTATATCCCATGAAAAGTCGTCAATCTACCTGACTCCAATCTCATCAAACTGCGATTTTCATGGTTTTCTCACACAAAATGTAAGAGTTCTATCACTATGTTCCACATGGGGACTTCTTGTAAACACGGTGCGTGACATTTATTTCTCATTAGAAGAAACCTGTAACAGGAACCAGGGGTCATAAAAGGTCATTAGGAACTGGACAATAACTGACCGTAAAACTGTCAGTCCTGTGGCATACGTGTCCAGTGGTCTACGGGGAAGTAGTGTGGTTTGGTCCTCTAACAATCTGGTCCCCGTTCCTGGTTATACTCATGCAGAGCCTGATAGACACGTACGATAGAAGCCTGGCTTCTGTCAACAGTAATTCCAATCAATAGCGAAGAATTGTCAATACCAAATAGAATAACCTGCAGCTAACTTCAGCAGCGTCACTGTGTGTAGAATTCACAGAATCAGAGACTACAGCCTGATGATACAATGATACACATGACACTTACGATACAATGATCTACACTGATACACAGATAAAATGTCTTCTGAATTCAAGAGATAACAGAAATTCTAATGTATTGAACAAACATGTAGCAGATCTCCTGATCGTAAATGCTAAACACATTAGATGGAAGATTCCTGCCATACATGATGGGTTCTTCTTTGACAACACGACATTGATACACAAAGTCTTAATGTTATTATTATATTCTCTCATGGACTTCCTATAATGTAAATCTTTAACACACAGGATTCCTTAAATATTTCTGAGCAACAAACCACTACCGTATACACAGTGAACCAAATTAAGTCACAAAGTCTCCAGTTAAATGTCCACTCCGAATGTCTTGACCACTGAAGTCTGGCCAGACTGACCCACAACAAACAAAAGACTTGGAATGTCCAAGATAAACAAAACCCAACTAAATAGTCAACAAAGATTACATCAGGTGTGAACATTATTCAGTGGCTCCTCTCAGCAGGTAATTTCCAGGTAACTTCAGGTGTGTTATCTGAGCAGGTGTGAGGGGGGGAACTAGACCCTAAATTCCATAGGGGGTTACAAGGGGAGGGAGCAAGTTCTATACAATGTCTATTATATACGTGTATTTGTAACATTACAAAGTCCTGAGACTTGAGACAGTGGTAATTTAATATGCCATATAAATTAAAATAATTTAATTGTGAAACATATATCCACTGACCCAATGAGAGAGAGAGAGACACACACACACACACATTCAGTCAATGCTGTACGAAATACTTAAAGTTCCATTGTAGTTCATTCTTTCTTTTTAACTAATTATGAATTATTCTTGGTTGACTTCATAAATTATACTGTGCTTTGATTGGTTGACTAAATTTTGACGGTCTTTTTTATTGGTTGACTGAATGATTACTATTTTCTGATTGGTTGACTAGATTAATACTGTTTTCTGATTGGCCAACTTACTGTTTCCTGACCAGACACTTCCGGCGTTCTCCACCGACATCCCTCCGATCCCACTGTCGGGGTAACTCTCCGCGCCGTAACTGTCCCTCACGCAGCGGTCCCTTAGTTTCAGTTCCTCCTCAATCAATAGTCGCGTCTGGCGGGACTTCGAATTGTTGTTGTTGTTAAAGAAACGACTAGGACGACCCTGGTCCACTTTTTTGGCCACTTGGTTTCCATTTTGTTGCTTTTTTACCCGATCGTGAGTATTAAGACTCTTTGTACGACCAAGTCCGGATTTAGTGGATTTTGAGTTTGGGGAGACTGGTGGATCATCACGGTAACCGTTATCCATGTTTGGATCTTCTGGGGACACGGGTAGCGATTGTAACATACGTTTTAAAACATTACTGTCAAACTCCACCTGACACTCTGGGGTAAGTGGGGTCATTGGGGTCAAAGGTTCCGGAGGTGAAGGCCATTCTGGGGATTCTGAAGAAGATCCTGATAAGCTTGACCTTGACACAGTCAATACTCCATTCACACCCGTCGCGCTGACTGATACTTTATAAACTGATCCTGGTGTCACGTTATTTTCAGTCCGATCCAAGTTTTCAAGAGAAAAATTCTCAGAATTTGGCAGTCTGTTTTCAGCTGGCGATTGATGACCTTTTGCCTCTGAGGTCAAAGGTGATGGATAGACATCTGACCTTACTGCAGTTGTGTCGCTCTGTGAGATTTCCTCCCTAGGGAACTCTTTAACACCGGGTTGACCTTGATCAGGGCGAGTCGGTGTCGGAGCGACAACGGTAGTGGATGTATCGATGTAAGAAATCCTATGACCTTGGTCCTTACTAAAGGTCACAAAAGAGTTATCACCAACAAAAGCAGTTTCGATATGGACAGGTCGGTTTGATTTCCTGTGGTTCTCCCTTTTATTGCCACCCTGCCTGAGGGACACCTGTGGAAAAGAGTTTTCTTGTTCCTGGCTCTGATAAAACTTATGTGTGAAATGGATGGCTGAAGCTGGTCGCGCTTCACTTAATATATTGTGGTCTACAAACGACACAGCGGCAGGCATAGACTTCCTGTGTGATGTATCATGGGTATTATTTGTTTTCCGCAACACCACAGTACCTGTTAAGAAGAACAATATTAAACATTTTACTGCCTCAACACTTTCAAATTTCGTAGGGAATTAACTAATTATCTAAAATATAAATCAAGGATTTGTGTTTATTTGAATACCATTTTCATGTGATCAGATTTCCTTAACTTAAAAAGAATTTTTTCTTATTCATTTTTCTGCTACTTCTTTGCCATATTAATAGTAAAGGTTTGACAATTTGGGAAGGGGATGGGGGGGGGCACATTTTTCTCTTATGGTTATGGACAAGACCCAATTTTCAGTATAAAACTTGTAATGGAGAAACATTGGAAGCTCATAGAAACAAATAGATTTATTGTCACCAGAAGGTATACTGTGACCTGGACTCAAGGTCAATTTGTTTTGACGAATTTTGGAAGGGGATGGGGGGATCACATGTGTTTCTCTCACAAAGCTATGAACAAGACACAAGTTTTTAATTATTTTTCTGCAAGTGACCTTGAACTTACCTAAAGTGACCTTGAGTCAATGTCACACTAAACATTAAAGAGCATTAAAGACCTTTTTGTTTTTGTTCAATCCTTATAAAGAAACTTTAAAATACAATGCATCTAAAAAATATTATATTGACCATGAATGCTATTTATAGCTACCTGTCACATTATCATAAACAGAAGACGTTGAGGGAGGTTTGAGAATTCCGATCGGTTTAAACGTCTGAAGTTCTGCCACTGGTTCCGTTAGCCCACGTGGTATTGTGGCGGCCTTCTCTCGTCTGTCAATCACAGGGTCATGTGACTGGTCACCTGACAGCTCCTGTGGAGCAGAGGCTGCTCTGTAGGCGGGGTTATGTGTGGGGGATCCAGAATTTCGCTGTAGAGTGGGGTGGTGGTGATGGTGGTGGTGAGTGGTGGTGGATCTAAGATCTGGCTGACTAGAGGGGTGGTGGTGGAAGTAGCGTGTAGGAGAATTAGGGGAGGAAACAGATCTATCTTTACCTTTTACCTTCTGAAATTTATAGAGAAAAAACTACCTTTACTGTCTTTACTGTAAGACAACTAGCTCTGGAACAGTTTTCTGGTCCAAAAAATCAGAGATTCATTTCAAACTTTATACCAAAAAATCAAGATTACGTGGCAAGCTATCTTACAAATATTTTGTATATTATATGTCCATGAAATGCAAAAACACATCTATTTAAACTCAAACATTTCTTACTTTCGACCCTTGTACATGGGATTTAAGAGGATTGATTATAAAAGAGTATTCAGTGAATTTGCAACTTACTGGCAGGTGTAAATTATTAAGAAATTACTGACAGCTTTAAACTACGTATCTCACTTTTGAGGGGGAGGGGGAGGGCTTAGTCTCGATGAGCTAGGTTACTTAGAAGTTACTGGCAGGTATAATTATCTCAACTTTGGGTGCTCAAGTCTCCTTGAGATTGGTTATTAAGAAGTTACTGACAGCTTTAAATCACCTTTGGGGGGAAGGCTTAGTCTAGATAAGGTTAAAATATATTTCAAATTATCTCATATGCAGACCAAATATTGAGAAATTTAAACAACTTTTTTCAACAACAAACTGTTCAATACTGAAAAAATTGTGCAAATTGTTGTTGATTGTCAAACAAATTATAGATGGAAATAATTGATTTGAATCTTAACATGATATTTTGTACCATTTATAATAAATGTATTATATTCTTTTTCTATGTGTTTGTATCTAATCCTACCTCCTCTCTACAATGTATGTTTATACAATTATAAGAATAAAATCATTGTCATTGACATTGACAGGTATCTCACCTTTGGGGGACTCAGTCTCAGTGAGCTCGCCGAGTTGGCCTTCCTGGAGAATTTCTGAGATGGGTTCTGTGGACAAAGACAGAAATTTAAAAATAGGCAGATTATGAGACTGTGAATATCTCCTTGTTAAAATACATGTACCTGATACAACACAACATACAATTTGTGAGCATCTTCCTGATTTTGATTTAACATGTACCTGACAATATTTCCTACATAGTAAAGGAAAAATCTCAATCTGCTAAGAAACTGAAAACATGAGAGAAAAGATTGTAGTGAGAAGAATTATTAAATGAGACCTGATGAATTGTGAAGAAAGTTTCTACCAGGCTAGGCCATCCATTTAAGTATTTAACAAATAAATTGGAGAGAGAGAGAGAGAGAGATTAAAAACAGTCCTTTTATCAGAGATGAATTGATATCTAATTTAATGTATAGAAGAAGAGTGATTATCAGACAGACATATATACGTACATGAACCAGCACACTGCTATATCCTTTATTCTGTAAGGTGCATTGTTCAGAGGGTATCTTTTAGCATTTAGTTAGGATATTTAAGAATTATTTAGCTGTGAGGAAATTAATGACTAAGTTACATCCTTATTATTCAAATGTATTGTGCTAATAAAATCACAAATGGCATAAATTTCCATGCAGTATAGCGTGTTTCCTTGTTAAAATCATTAAAAAGCATGATATAAATAACAGTTATTTTCTAAGGAAATTAAGATGTAAAAGAACAGCTGCTTTTCCACCCAAATGAAATAAATACTAGCAACATTTACACAATAAAAAAATCCCTAGATCTCCTACAAACTAATTCCTCCCCATCCCAGTTTTCTGTAATGCAGATAAATACATTATACATGTATATATAAATAAATACAACAGTGACCCCCATCCCTCACCCCCCATTCATCCCACAATACTTACAGTGCAGCAGTCTCTAAATCTCTGGGCGTCAGCGGGGGTTGTGAAGTTTAGTCCCCACTCACAGCGGTCTATGGGGTCTCTCCAATGAACAAAACTCTCAGTGGCAGGACAAATTATAGTTCCTATAAATAAACCAGAAAACTACCTGAATAATCTGACTTTAAGCAAATAATAAGTCCCCAAGACCTTAAACTGTGAGCAGAATTAAGTCCAAATTTAGAATTTTATTTTAAGAAGAAATTTTTTTTTTAATTAAAATTTCTTGTACCATTCAAATACAAATTTTGCTTTGATTTTCAAAATTTAAATTAAAGTTTGTCTGTTCTCATTTTATGGTCTTGATGACTAATGTTACAGTGACACGTACTTTAAAAATGTTAGTTTATTTTTAACAAAACAGCAAAAATTTTTAATTCAGACACCACTGGTGCCAAATTTGCCGGATTATACAACATGCATAATAGGTAAGACAATGTTCTAAAGAATTGAATTTACAGAAATGGACTAAAAGTTTTCCTGGTATAAATAAGCTAGATTTCAGAATACACAATGTCTGGATAAGACAAGTTTGACTGTATAAAGGTCTTTATAATACAAATCTCTGATAATTCAATATACACTGTATATTAAGTTCCCCAGTTGTTGTTTATATATTCAGCATCCTTTTAATACAGTGTTACAGTGCAAACTGCTAATAATATTTACTTAATAGGAAATTATAAGCTCAGCTTTGTTTTTTAATGTACAGTTGAACTTCCATATCTTGAACACTAATATCTCAAATACCATGTGGATATGTCGAAGTGATTGGAAATCCCAACCTCTTATTCCTCGATATCTCAAATCCTCAGATATCTTTAAGTTTTTACCTGGTCCCAATGAGTTCAAGGTAACGAGGTTTGACTGTATTACATGTACTAACTATTTTCATTGAGAGGGATTACGGTGGCTAGAGGAGGGGGAATGGGGGAGGGGGGAGTTTAACAGCATTTTTTTAAAGATGCAGATAGAATTCAGGGAATGCTAAACCCAAACTTGAGAAACCAGAGAAATATATTAAAGAAAAAAACAAAAAAAATCACAATCATTATATATATATATAACATACTGAGACAAGGCAAGATAAAAAAATAATACAAGGAGGAAGATCAGCTCAACACTGCAGATTTAATGGAGAGAAATAAAAGATGATTAAAAGTTGCCTATACAAATCCATTCTACCTCTGAAACTGAAATAAACCACTGATAAAATTATTTAATGGAATGCCAAAATTGAATCAATTATAAATACTTCATTAAATGATTTTTTTTTTCCGATGAGGGATTTGGGGGGGGGGGGGGGCTTGAGTTCATGTGCCTTTTCATTTACATACTTTTCAACGAAAAAATGAAATATGAATTCTAAATACCCCATGTGTCATACTTTTAAAACCTGGTGACACATACAGGTTTTCAAAATAAAAACAACAAAGACAGAATAGAAAGAATGTTTAAACACAGTATCTACCTGAACTAAGAAAGCCACATAATAAATTTAAAGATAAAAAATTAAAAAAACTCTCAAGATTAGTTTCCGATCAAATCTGTATATAACACAAATAAAAACAGAAAAAAACACCTCATTAAGTCTGAAGAAGTCCTCCTATTAAAATTCCCTGTTAATTAAATCCATTAATAAAGCACAGCGTTAACAGCCACTGGTTCATCACTGTTGTGACACGATGACGGTTAAAAATTCCAAAAATGTCCTTGTTGTTTTTTCGTCACCTATTTATGGATTTGATAGGAGGCACAATTAAAATCCTATCACCTGATGACAAAACATTTCAATCCAGTCCTCATTGTCTAAACACCCACAAAGAATTACAATTTACTGTCAGGTGGAATGAATGCAGATTTGGACATTTAAATATTTGAAAAAATTCAAACATGCTACTGAATGGGATATGACCTCATTGGAGGTATTCCGCTAGATACGGAAGTTTTTTGCGTCTAAGTGTGAATTTTTACCTGATTCAGGTGAGAGAACATCAAACACCTGTCTCCAGGCAAAATTACCTGGGTTTTCTTAAAGTATGGTCCATTAAACTTCATTAAAGACAGGTGTGCAGTTATTTTATATTGACAGACTGTGAAACTGAAGAATTCAAGCCAGACCAAATGAAATGTAACTTTTTACTAATCTTCCAATATTTTACCACAGTTTTCTCATGCAAATGACATTAAAGGCCACAAAATAAAGAAGTCACTTCTATCAAAGTCCATGGAATTTCACCCATCAGTTAAGTTTATAGGATTAAAATTATCAACACAATACCTATAACAGCTTTTTACAGACATGTAATGTCTCTAACCAAATTAATGTAGAGGATATTCAATGTTTTGTAGATGGATATGAAATTTATTTCAGTAGTGGGACAGCTAGGATTTTTTTTTTTATATTTTCATGAGTTTGCCTCTGTCATTTCTTAATACAGTGTCATAGGCTTGACATCATAGTTGAGCAGTTGAGCCAATAACTTAGCAGTTGTGAGATTGAAAACATTTTAACATGGATTTTAGCAACATATGTGAGAAGAAACTTGCAGTTTCAGTTTCTATCAAGACAGTTACTATCTCTATCTAATATGACAGGCCAGAAATTATTTTTTACTTATTTGATATCCTTTCACACTGTGAGAAAATATCACTTTGGTATCCTTTCACATTATGAGAGAATCACTTTTATTCAATAGATAAATCACATTATTTCACTGTTAAAAATTTAATAAATGTCTCTGATCAAATCAATGTGCTGGTAGTGTGTATATATCTAGAGGCAACAACCAGCTTTATAGGCACACTGGAATGAACCTCCTCCAAAAACTAAATCTTGGTCTGATTCATCTGGAAATGCATGCCAGATACATGTCTGGTAGTGTGCATCTCTGGATGCATCATTCATGCAACTTTGGTCCAGGTAGGACTTATTGTTACTTGAGAATGGACCTGCTTCAATAAGTAGTTCAGATCCAGCATCTGAGGCAAATCTGGTCATGTGCTTCCCTATATGCATCGTCCATACAACTTTGGTCCAGGTATAGGGCTTATAATTACTTGGGAATGGGCCTGCTCCAAAATTTAAACCTTGTCACAATATATCATATTCTATATATATATATATATATATATATATATATCTAAAAAAGTAGGTCAGATCCAGAATCTGAAGCAGGTCTAGTACATGTGCATCTTTGAATGCATCATCCATGCATGTTTGGTCCAAATAAGGCTTACACTTATTCTATAATGGACTTCTCCATAAAACCAGTGCCAGTCATACATGTACGTATAGCATATAAGCTCATCTCCACTTCGTCTGAGTTAATAAAAGCTTTCTGTGGTGATGCCATCTCTGAAATAATTTTATTTTGAACTGCTTGACTTCCTCACTATCAATGAGCAATATAAACCTAATGAATCACTTCTGAATTAAAGGTGCTTGGACACAGATTTGAAGTTAATATTTCCTCAAATTTTCTGTATAACTTCATGACTTATATGTTGCTATAGCATTTCATACTAAAATATAATAAAAATCTTATTTCATCTCGAAGTTATTAAAACTTCGAATTTCTGGACGCGTTGGATTGACACATCCTTGCACTTTGACATATTTTGATTTTATTCTTAATACTTAAGAAAAGTGGCAATTTTGTTGTGTATTAATGAAATATAACAAAACTAAAACCCACTCAATATATTATGTAAGTCCGTGCTCAGTGGTGTGTGCAGAGTTTAACAAATGAACACACCCGGTGAATCGTAAACATTAACAATAACAGAGCTCGTGCCCTGTTTACAAAAACAGTTTACGTTTCACGGATGTGTTCAATTTGTTAAACTCTGTACACATCACAGAGCACGGACTGACAATACTGGTGATTTGGTTTTGCTTTCGAACATTTCTACTCTGAATTTTCTGGATTATAGATGTAATATTTTTCATTAATACATAAATAAAATCTTATTTCATCTCGAAATATAGTTCCAATAATTTCCAGATAAAATAAGTTTTTAATTATATTTTCTTGTGAAAAGCTATTGCAATATATAAGTCATGATATTATACAGAAAATTTGAGAAAATATTAAGTTCAAATCTGTGTCTATATAAGCACCTTTAATTTACGATCTTGGGGTCTGATACAAATTCTTCTCTCCCCATACAAACCAACAGGGCTTCAGAAGTGATTTGTAAGTCCCAAGCTCTTTTTGTTTAAGTATTCTACCCTCAATATCTCAAACCCTTGGATATCTCGAAGTTTTCTCTTGGCCCCATCCAGTTTGAGATAATGAAGTTTGACTGTATATATATTAAACAAGATTGTTTGTTGCAATGAAACACTGATGCCCTTGTAATTGGTAGCTCAAGGAGAAGTTTAAGGTTTTCATGTGTAGGTCAAACTTCAAGGTCAAGAGGTAAAAAATGTTGGTACCCAAAGAAATGTCTTGTTAAAAAGAAAACACCCATGAAATATGAAAACCCTAGCACCAACCATTCAGAAATTATAGCTAAGGTAAAAGTTTATCAAAAGTAGGTCATATTCCAAGGTCAAGAGTTCAAAAATATTGGTTCCCAAATAAAAATATTATCACAATGCATACACAAGTGAAATATGAAATATGAAAGACCTAGCTCTAACTGTTCAAAAGTTATCATCAAGATTAGGGTTTCAAATGCAAGTCAAACTCCACAGTAAAAAATGTTAGCACTCAAACAAATGTCTTGTCACATGGAATACACAAGTGAAATATGAAAGCCCTAACACCAAACATTAAAAAGTTATGTCAAACTGGTTAAAGTTTTTGCAGACAGACAGCGAGATAGACAATTGTGCAGACCAAAAAGTCCAGCCTTGGAATGTTCAATTATTTAAACAATAAAATGCTTTCTTTGGTTGTTATTACGGGAATTAATGTCGCGGTTGTTGCAGAAAAAATACATAACCCGCATAAGTGGGTTATGTGAATTTTTTCTGTAATAGCTGCGACATTAATTTCAGTACTAACAAACAAAGAAAGACATTTATTGTTTATATTTATATCTTTATAAAAAAGAACATTCAAAGTAAATTAAGTACGTAAATATTGTATTATAGATGTGTATATCATTATATACATAATTGATGGAACAGCTGTTGCTTAAGAAATCTATGCTGGTGACTTGCTTAGTGTCATTTATGGACTGATTAATGGCAATGGTTTTTATAAGAAATAAAGGAAATAATATTCAGTGAATGTAAATATGAGAGCATAAAAAACAACTGAATTGTCAAATTACAGTATTCTTCTTCAAATAAAAAATTGATGGAGAATGGTCAGGAAAAGGTTAAGTGTCCATGGGAAGTCACATGACAGACAGGGAAGTAGAATACGGTTTCAGAGAGAACGTATTGGAGTTGCTGCTGAAACAAAATAACATTTTCAAATTGAAGTACTAAAGTAATCAAGTTACCTTTATATTTATCTAAAAGGTAAGTTTAAATCATTAATGATATACTTGAATGTTATTCTATAGACACGAAGAAGAATAACATATATACATAAAAATTTAGAAGTGGCTTGTTTTAGTAAATCTTACAGTTCTTAAATTTCATCAAATTTATTATTCAATTAACATATAGTCTGGACAATCAATTATAATTTTCATTGTTGACAAAACAAAGGACTTTTTTTCATGGTGGGGGAGGGGGGGGGGTAGATTAGGGAAGGGAAATAACATTTTGGACCAAAGGATGTAATATATATGCTTGGATTCCAGACAATCAGTTTCATCAATAGCTAAGGAATCTATGATTTTTTTTTCACTGTATTGACTGTTTGCATAAATTACGGTTTCTGTATACTCTGATAAGATAGATAACTCTGAATGGGATATATGGCTATTATTTCTTTATAAATTTGTCAAGTTCAAATGTCTTTTTTTGTCCAATTTTACCGTGCAAGCTATGCTAAAACTGTTTGTATATTACCTCTAAAAAAAAAAAACTGGGAAATTTGGAAAATTATAATCATTAAAGCTACATTTTCTACAAGTGAACAGAGGGATTACGGACCTTAACTTAGAAAAACAACCTTAAACTCCTGTCATCTTATTTACAGAGGCTCTCTGTCTAATCAGCTATGGACTCCCGTTTATGAAGCCCCTCTGTCTAATCAGCCATGGACCCCCGTTACTGTGCACAAGATGTTTTACGCTGTGATGTATGTAAAGTGGAACCCTTACACAGTCATTGTAAGCTTTGTCACGTTAACCTGTGTACTAACTGTAGTGAAAACCATCTCTCCGACTCAACAAAACATCACCTCATCGTACCCTACCAAGCTAAAAATAATAACTACCCACAATGTCTACAGCATAGGGGTAGACATTGTGAAGATTACTGTGAGAAATGTGACATTCCTGTCTGTTCTAGCTGTCTGTCTTCTGGTGAACATAAGAGACACAATTTATCAGACATTCTGCAGAAACTCAGAAACAAAACAGAAGATTTAAAAAATGATCTGAAGGAATTGGAGGAGAGAATTCATCCTAAATATTAAGAAATAGCTACAGATATAAAAGCTGAGGACGCCAGCCTGGACACGTATTACACTGAACTCACAGCGGCCATTGTCAGACAAGGAGAAGACTGGCACAGAAAGATTGACATCATTGTCAACAAAAGATTATCTGAAGCTGAGGAGGTGAAAAACAAATACCACACGGCTCTCAGTAAGCATGAAAAGGAAATCAGCGACACAGCTTCTGAAATTAAACAAAATATTCTTGATTTGAAAAAAATACTGGACTCCAATGACACCTCCCTCATTTCTGTGTACAAGTCCCGGAATGCTGAATTCAGAAGCTTGCCTCCCAGAGTCATAGTAACCGTCCCAATCTTCTCCCCTCCAAGGGACAACACAGAACAACTCGATCAACTGTTTGGTTCTTTGTCAGGACCATCCATTACAACGGATGAAAATGATTACATGATGGAGGGACCAGAAACTGCACCCTCCCTTCCATTCAAACCACTCCTCCATGAACCAAAGACCACTGCCTGTATAAACTTAGGGCAGACCTGGCCAAACAGTGTTACCTGTCTCAGTGATGAAAAAGTATGGACCTGTGGTTACGACAACATCATACGACTCTATAGTCTTCATAGTAGACTGCTGAAGTCAATCCAAACCAAGTCAGGGAACATACCATGTGACATCGCAATGACGAGGAGTGGAGATCTCATTTATACTGATCCTCAAGCAAGAGTTTTACATAAAGTGAAAAATAAAAAGATAAAGGAAATGGTCAGATGTAAGGGGTGGATGCCCTTAAATGTCTGTAGCACCTTCTCTGATGATCTGCTGGTTAGCATGTGTAGTGTTGATTGTACCAAATCAAAGATTGTCCGTTTCTCTGACTTCACAGAGACACAAACCATTCAGTTTAACTCCGACAGAACGCCTCTGTATTCCCCAGGCTTTGGTAAATACATAACTGAGAACAGAAACCTGGATATCTGTGTGTCTGATGGTAATGCGATGGCTGTAGTGGTGGTCAGTTGGGCCGGGAAACTCAGATTTAGATACACTGGTCATCCCTCTATGGCCACAGGACCATTTAGTCCCCGTGGCATCACGACAGACAGCCAGAGTCTGATCTTGATAGCGGACATTAACAACCACTGCGTCCACATCCTAGACAAGGATGGAGAGCTCCTTCGTAAGATGTGTCAGATAAATAGTCCATACGGAATATGTGTGGACAACAAAGACAACCTCTACGTCATGGAATGGAATCAGAGCTCCATGGGTAAAGTGAGGAAAATTCAATACATGTAATACCTTGTGACTGGGATTTAAAACTGATAAAATAACAACATAATCACATCTCATGAAAAGCAACAAGATGTTGATACCTAGCTGAAAATGTAACACGAGGTTGATACAACATAATGTTAAACTAGAATTATACAGCAAGGGTTTGAATATGAACTGTGCTTGCTATAATGCTTCCAAATTATTTTCACTCAAGAAATGTTACCATTAGAATCATTACAATTTTCAAACTACAGTAATGTTTTTCAAACATTTCAGAATAACTGTATGAGTACATAAATTGACATATTAAAAATTTAGCGCAATCACTGGATATTGATTGGCAATGGCATAATCATGAATTAGCACTACACACGACCATGCCATGTATTATTTTTAATAGTGATTTATTAACAGTATTCATGAATTAGTGCATTGTTGATAGCGCCAAAGCCACTAAAAAATGAAGTCCGCTTTTTAAAGTACACATACTGTATAAGTCAACAGAGCGTGGCAGTGTGTATCATTAATCTTGACCTTTTGACCTTGACCCCTGAGAATGTAACCTAACACTTCAGTAACTTGCTTTCATATAGTTACAATTCCTAGAATTGGAGGTCTTGGAAGGTATTTTTTAAGCATTATTTTCTAAATATTTTTATGATTAAAAAAATCTTGTTTAGTTCTGTTTGAAGTAATTTAATTAAAACAATTAATTCATCCAACAGAACATGATAGGATAAAAAGCTCTTAAGCCTCATTAATGTGAGTTTATTTTATTTTTTTGTAATTTAATTATAAGAGAGTCCCCTCCTTAACATTGTTTGTTTGAATCAGGAAATAATTTATGTTAGAGTAACAATCAAACAAATTTAGAAAACTTAAGAGTTCATTTTTTATAATCTGTTGTTTTCATCAATGGTATAATCATGAACACAAATATTTTTATTTTTATGAATTAGGGAAACATATTTTCATTCTCAATATTCTTCCAATGATCATTTCTGGTGTTATTTATACATCTACAACACAAATGACTTTATTCCACTCAAAAAATTCAAAAAAGCTCTTACCTTGTTTTAATATTTTGACAAGGGGGGATAATCGTTAGATGGTTTTATTATTTTTACAAGGGCAGGTAACTGTTAATTTTGACATAGGAAGGTAACTGTTGCCTGGTTATCTATAAACAAGGGGAGGTCACTGTTACCTGGTTGTATAATTTTGATTTTCATAGACAAGGGAAGGTCACTGTTACTTTTAACAAAGGGAGGTAACTGTTACCTGGTTATCTATAAACAAGGGGAGGTCACTGTTACCTGGTTGTATAATTTTGACATCAAAGATCTTTTCCACGTGTTTGTTGTATGCTGTGATCTGGAACACGGTGGTGGGCGTGTCCTCAATACAGGAGATATTGACAGGTACGACGTCCAATGAAACTCTCTCCCATCTCATATAGTCCCCATCACCATGGACACGGAATATCTCCGCCCACAATCTACAAAACATTTCAGAATCATATATTTACCAAATAAAAGCTACATGTACAATACAACTTTAAGTAACTTGAACTTTATTTGAAAACCCATTTGACATCCCTTTCTCGAATTTTTCACTCATATTGAGATGCCACCACTTGCCGGTGGAAGGCTGCAAATTTAGACCTATACTTGGCACTCTGAGCCATTGAGCAGTGAGGGACTTTTTTTGTGCCAGCACCTACTGCAACATGGGACGTCAGTTTATACGGTCTCATCTGAAGGACCAATCTCCATGCCCCGTTATGAGATTTGAACTCGCGAGTAAGGATCTATTCCTTACTGCACTTAAATGAAAAGATTATTTTACTTTGATACACACACAAAAAGGTTTCAATAAGAACACATATTAGGTTTGCCTTTTTTTTTTTTTTTAGCTCCCATGATTCATAAAATTTGAGTGTCAAGGAAGGTTGCTAACTGATATCTTTTTAATGAAAAGTGAATTTATATTTTCTTTCGTGTGTTTCATTGATGAAAAATTCAAACTTACAGAATTCTAATGATAAATTATAAGAAAATGTAACTGTATTGAGAACTGTAAATCACTTCAAATTTACGAAATTCTAAATCAATGATAAATTATAAGAAAGCATAATGGTATTAAGTGCTATAAATCACTTGGCCAGAACTTTATTCTAGCATAAATACGCAAGACTGTCTACTTGCAAAAATTATATTCTCACCTATATTTGTATTGTTAACAATTATGTATACAACAGAAACCAAAATTTATGAAAATGTTGTCTGACTCGTTTATTAATAACAATTTACTGCCTTGTGCAATAAGTTGGCATGAAAACTTGGTGATCTACAGTAGTCTTAACAATTCTTGTCAATTAACAGTTCTCTAGCAATCAGAAATATAACCACGATATCTTAACATCAAAACAGAGAGATCTAGATTTACCTGTGTCACCTATTTATAACATTCTTACAGTTATTATTGCAGGGTACCAGTAATATAAAAACTAATCTGATGATCAATTATGTACAACAAACACTGCATAAAGGGGGAGAACTCCTACAACAATAGTCCTGACAATTGTAATTTAAAGTTTAAAATCTTAGCTCTTATTTTAAACTAATTAACATAGTTACAGATATTAGTTTAAATCAAAATTTTGAACTTTTACTTGTAACAGGATTTCATAGCTGCAATAAATAGTTCTTTATATTGAGTAAGGTAAATCCAAAAAAAAATTCAATAGAAATTTTTTGAATTTTGATTTTGCATATAATTTTTTTTTCTCACTTTTTATTGCAATATTTTACCATTCTTAATCTTTTTGCATCCATGATTATTTATGAATACAAATCATGCACAGAACTCTTATCTTCCCACAATAACTAAAACAGATTACAGCATCCTAACAGAGGATGACTCTACAACAAGAAAAATAATAAATCCTGAAGTCTGTGATTCTATAAATAGATTCCTCACCCTCCAGAAATGAGTCAAACTCCTACATGGAATTAAGCAGAACAAAAACATCAAATAACTAAGATTCCAGAGAGAAATTTCAGAGAAAATCCTCAAGAATATTCCAAACAATGGCTACTTTTTTAGATGACTGAGTTTGTCTTTTGGACGTTCAGATTGATCCTATACAGGGGACAAATTAACCATCACAATATAGGACATATTGATCGCCATGACAACAGACAATCATTGATTTCCATGGCAACAGCTGCTACTTCTCTGACAAGATGACACCCCAGTCTTGTGTTGATTATAATTTGTTACTGGGTTAAATGTGCAGGGACAGACAAAAAATCAATTTTATATGGTTGAGATTTTGTTTTCAGATAATTGGACATCATTTAACATAAAAAATTCCCCATCATTTTTCTGTAAGAAATTGAAGCCCAAACACAATTCACTACCAAAGATACAAAAGATTCTAAAAGACCCTTAAAAGATCTCAACACTATATATAGATATTTAAGGAAGCTCTGTACACTCTGCTCACTGAAGATTTCTACTTCCTGGATAATTTATAATGCTCTTAGAGTGATCTGCTCTTTGGTGACGTACTAAAATGGAATAAAAGTAAATCTACGGTAAATGACAAAATTTAATTGAATTCAATTAAAGTACACTTGGACTAAGATTTGCATGTGAATAATATAAGAACACAACAAGTAAGTAAACGAGAGTACGTGATTTAATTCTTTTCACAAATACTTCATTATCTTTCAATTGAAAATCTTTCTTGGGGAAATATCTTAAAATCCTATGTTGAAATGAACTTGGTAAAATCAATATATATGTCTTCTTTATATGAAAAAAAAAAAATCTTATTCGGCTTATTTCTAAACGTTATGGGTGCACTCGTCTGATGAAAATAATGTTTCAGCAATAAAGAATGAGAAAAACCATTTCACAGAATTATGTTATGGCATCAAAGGAAATCAAATGTCTCTGTAGACATGTTTGTCAATGGGATTTCAGTTTAGTTCACAGGTTCAAAATTCCATGGATTTGCACACAACTCTCAGATTTCATAAACAGTAATTCAGATCAATTGCTTTGATTGCATTTCAAATAAGGACTATTAAAAATAATATACATGAGTAACACTGGTACATGGCTATACATTGTTTACAGGCGATACTCGCTAGTTCTGCCTGGCTTGTCAAACAATGATTTCATACCTTATGCAAGGACCTTCAGATGAGGACAGGACCCCCCCTTTCCCTCCCCATGATATAGACCCCCGGGCCTTTTCAACATTTTTTTCATAAATTATATATGGATGACACATTTGAACAATGCGCTCGCCCCAATGGTAGCACTGTCAGCATATTAACTTAGATCAGACTCTTCATTCATGGATACTAGCTGTAATACTGGAAGGTAAAAAGTCAGATGCATTCATTCTAGAATGTGACGTCATGTGTTTTATATGATAGATGCCCTTCCAGAAGGGAATCTGAATAGTGCAAGTTTTAAACAAAAGATATTGACTTTTTTAAAGAGCAGATGCAATTATTTGCTGTTTCCTCTAAGCTCTCTGCAAGACTTTTAGAACTAAATCTTGGTTACCTATATGTTATTTTGTCAGCCATTATTGCATGGAACTTTATCTCCCTTTTAAAAATCTCAGGTCAACTCAGGTACTTACAGTTGATTACAAACGTTGCTTCTTCTTGGTCTCCTCATGGTCAAGGTCAAACGTCAGGCACATGATGACCTTTGAACTGTAAGCACTGAGGAGTGCATCTCCATCATGTCCATCATCAAACAGTCATTAAGGTTAAAGATTAAAGGGTAAAGATCCTTCTTAATTCAAACAAGTTCTTAATTCTCTATAAACACTTCCTTAAAAACATATCATCCACTTCCAGCACCACAATAGCTTTGCTACATCTGCTTAAATTTTACAGGAAAATTATTTTTTTCTTTTCAGCATGAAAACCTGGCCTCCATTTTAATGGATTGTAATTGATTCGATTCAGAGCGTTATCTTAAAACACTTAGAGTAATTCCCAGGGCCTTCTGCTCCAACACAATGCACAAGTTTCCTCTGTTAAACACCAAGATCAGCATGTCAGCTGTATATCTTTTTTATCTCCACACATCAAAGAGTGACATCCTTAATTTATCACTTTCTACCTCATCTACAGGTCTGCTCAAAATTCGGATGGAAAGTTTTTTTATCCCTTGGGAAAAACATTCACATGTATAACAGTGATAAAAATGAATAATGTCAAAATTATCAATCATAAAAATGTTTGGTAATAAAAATATTCTACATAAATCTATAAACAAAAATATAACCCTCATCATCTATATATAGTCATCCTTTTGAAGGTCATTTCCCAAGGTCACTCACGTCAAAGCTTGCTTTACATGTTACAGTTTTTGACAGTTCTTATTGAGAATTTTCATAAGTAGCTGAACAAAAACCTTTCAAATCCAATTTGTTAAATATCATTTAGATCTCTTTGTATAATTCTAAGTCTTCAGCATACACTTTAAGCTTGTCATCCAACATGAACGATTAATTATTTAGTGTTGTAAATGAGTACTTATTCTGATCAAACTATCCATGAATTCACTCATTTCTCTTCAAATCACTTTAACACTTGTCCTTCTGTACTGGCTTCACACATAAAGTCAAGGTATATATATCCCAGTCTCACAATTTCTGAATTTTTTTCATCAATCCATGAAGATTTCATGCTGTAACCACTATTAATATATAATTATTCATCATCCCTATCAGTTATAAGTAAAGGACACTGATCTACTGTTGTGTCAGACCTGTAATAGCCAGGGATTAGACCCCACATCATTGTCATTATCTCTCATCAAATGTTCAAAAACCTTTCCTTTGAAAGAAAAGCCAGACTTTTACCTGAGAAGGTTTTAAAATTCTTCACTGATCAGATTAAAATTCAAGGCCCCTTAATTTTCACCAAAAGGAAATGTTTCATAACTAAACAGAAAATGAACACCCCCCCCTTTCTTAATCAATGTACAATGTACTGGTACTAATGTATACGTACATGCATCTGATTTATCCATTGTTGTCTCAGCACACTCTTACATATTTATACACCAATTGTTACAAATGATACACTGTATGTACTATTTTTTACACCTCAAAGCAATGAACCCAAGTTAATAAACAGTACCTGAAAGTTCCCTGCCAGCTTTACCATCATTACAAACCACCTTACTTTTTTAAAAATTAAATCTCTGCAGATGTCACTTTTACGTTAATTCACTTTTTACACATATTGTAGCATTTACTTTCACTTTTTAACTGATTTAGATAATGGTATCAAAATATTCATGGGTATAACTGTATAAAAAGGGAAATCTTTTGAAAAAAGGCAGGGCAAAGATGACTAAGGTGAGCAATGGTGTCCAAGAGCTTATAGTTTAAAATAAAGCCAAAATGCCAGTTTTTCATCCCTTTTTCCCTACCCGAGGCATTATGAGGAGATGGGAGTTCCTGCTGTGTTGCCATGGATACAGTTCATGTAAATACAGTTCTTACCTGAGGAGGTGGGAGTCCCTGCTGTGTTGCCATGGATACAGTACATGTAAATACAGTTCTTACCTGAGGACGTGGGAGTTTTTGCTGTGTTGCCATGGATACATGTAAATACAGTTCTTACCCGAAGAGGTGGGAGTCCCTGCTGTGCTGCCATGGACACAGTACATGTATATACAGTTTTTACCTGAGGAGATGGGAGTTTTTGCTGTGTTGCCATGGATACAGTACAAGTAAATACAGTTCTTACCTGAGGAGGTGGGAGTCCCTGCTGTGTTGCCATGGATACAGTACATATATATAGAGTTCTTACCTGAGGAGGTGGGAGTCCTTGCTGTGTTGCCATGGATACAGTATATGTAAATACAGTTCTTACCTGAGGAGGTGGGAGTCCCTGCTATGTTGCCATGGATACAGTACATGTATATACAGTTCTTACCTGAGGAGGTGGCAGTTTTTGCTGTGTTGCCATGGATACATGTAAATATAGTTCTTATCTTAGGAGGTGGGAGTCCCTGCTATGTTGCCATGGATACAGTACATGTATATACAGTGCTTACCTGAGGAGGTGGCAGTTTTTGCTGTGTTGCCATGGATACATGTAAATATAGTTCTTACCTGAGGAGGTGGGAGTACCTGCTGTGTTGCCATGGACACAGTACATGTATATACAGTTCTTACCTGAGGAGGTGGGAGTTTTTGCTGTGTTGCCATGGATACAGTACAAGTAAATACAGTTCTTACCTGAGGAGGTGGGAGTCCTTGCTGTGTTGCCACGGATACAGTACATATATATAGAGTTCTTACCTGAGGAGGTGGGAGTCCTTGCTGTGTTGCCATGGATACAGTACATGTATATACAGTTCTTACCTGAGGAGGTGGGAGTTTTTGCTGTGTTGCCATGGATACATGTAAATATAGTTCTTACCTAAGGAGGTGGGAGTCCCTGCTTTGTTGCCATGGATACAGTACATGTATATACAGTTCTTACCTGAGGAGGTGGCAGTTTTTGCTGTGTTGCCATGGATACAGTTCATGTATACACAGTTCTTACCTGAGGAGGTGGGAGTCCTTGCTGTGTTGCCATAGATATAGTAATTGTATATACAGTTCTTACCTGAGGAGGTGGGAGTTTTTGCTGTGTTGCCATGGATACAGTACATGTATATACAGTTATTACCTGAGGAGGTGGGATTCCTTGCTGTATTGCCATGGATACATGTATATACAGTTCTTACCTGAGGAGGTGGGAATCCTTGCTGTGTTACCATGGATACATGTTTATACAGTTCTTACCTGAGGAGGTGGGAATCCTTGCTGTGTTACCATGGATACATGTATATACAGTTCTTACCTGAGGAGGTGGGAATCCTTGCTGTGTTGCCATGGATACTGGTCTTCTCTGTAAGGTTTTTTACTCAGTAATGGGGCACAGAGTTTGTTACCCATCATGCATCTGGTCCATGCTCACTAAAACAATAAAAAAATAGAAATGTATAAAACACTACTTCGGAATCATCATTGTTCCTGGGGGACAAATGTTCCTGGATTTCTAGGATCCCTTACCTAAGAATTCACATCACCATGAACGATTATTTTGTAAACATATTAGTTAATTGAACCTTCTGTCCATTTGAGTTACCCACAAAATTAAGTCCCCCGGAACCATGAGTAAAAATTTTTGTTTTTGTTGCCCAAGAAAAATTGACCACCATGAGTTCCAGTACAGTATTCACCATAATGAATTAAATAATGCAGTTAAATTTTACAATTGTTATCATATGCATCTGCAACATATCAAATAAATAATTATTCCTTATTTCTTTTTCTTTTGATCACTTTTACCCCTTTACAATATAAAAGGAATCACCTGGGAGATCAACTTTATTAAATTAAAACATTTATTAATCTTATAACCACAAACATTTAGCTATTATACTTACAATCATCGCATTAACTATCATCTTGTAATAAACAACGAAGTGCTAGCTAGAACTTGGATATTTTATACATGACTGCCTAAATATTTAGAAATGTTTTGGTGTCTGTATTGTTCCACACAATTTAAAACAAAATCAACTAACCCCAATTTCCTACCACTTTTTTTATCTTAATCATTCAAATTACCCATAATTCCTCATCAAAGAGCTCAATTCAGGAGGAAGTAATTAGATTAGCCAGCTATCTTATGTCAATCTTTGAAAAGCCACAAAACACCGAGAGAAGAACAAAATAGCTGGATTTCAATTGGAAACAATTACAGCCTCTGTCTGGAAGTGGGCATTACAACAGCTGGTAAACTCCAGCAAGGATCAAATATTTATTTCTAATAAACCAGGATTCCTTCATTATCCTCCATTGTATCTGAAATCTTTTATACATTCTTTTAATTCTTACTAAAATATATGGAGATATTTGGGGGAAGTATTTATTAATTAAAATAAAAAAATTAGATTTGATCGATTAATCAATTAATTCTTCAAAAGTAAAACATAGGAGCTCTGAATCAAATAAAATCTCATTGATTCAGCTGTTTACGTTTAAAGTAAATAAATCTTTCTCTAAGCCCTGAGGCTTATGAGGCTGATGTATATACTCAGTATCTGAGCAGCTTAGAGTCATTGACTCCCTATGGATGGCACACAAGTGCCTTGTCCTGAGGCTTATAAGGCTGATGTATATTCCCTGTATCTGAGCAGTTGAGAGTCACTGACTCACCATGGATGGCACACAAGTTCCTTGTCCTGAGGCTTATAAGGCTGATGTATATACCCAGTATCTGAGCGGCTGAGAGTCATTGACTCCCTATGGATGGCACACAAGTGCCTTGTCCTGAGGCTTATAAGGCTGATGTATATACCCAGTATCTAAGCAGCTGAGAGTCACTGACTCCCTATGGATGGCACACAAGTTCCTTGTCCTGAGGCTTATAAGGCTGATGCCTATACCAAGATTCTGAGGTGCTACACATCTCTAAATGTCTTTGCCATCAAAGACACCAACCTAAGGTCATCGCTGGAAATCTTCCACCTGTTACATGACTCACTTCGAGGGAATCAGGTCAATGTGACATATAATAATGTAACTGGACAGATGAATAGCGAAACAGACTGGTCAATGTGGCACAAAATATAACAGGACAGACATATATGGTAATGGACCAGTCAACAGGGGATACTTACTCCTCCTTGGCACCTGATCCCACCTCTGGAATTTCCAGGAGTCTCTGTGTTGTGTTTTGCCCTGTTCACAATTTGTAAATATTTAAAGGATTTATTAGATCAATCACTGATCATCATCCTATTAACATTTTTTTTTCATTTTCATCAAAACCAGAATAAATGATGGATCAAACCAGGATTTGAAGCAAGGCCCCCTTGGCAGGTGCTATGCTAACTTATTACCCTCACCAAATGATTTCCTAGACAGGTGCTCTACTAACTAATCTTCTAGACAAGTGTTCTACCAACTGATCTCCCAGACAGGTGCTCTACCAAATGATCTCCTAGACAGGTGCTACACGAACTGATCTCGCAGACAGATGCTCTACTAACTGATCTTCTAGACAGGTGCTCTACTAACTGATCTTTTAGACAGGTGCTCTACCAACTGATCTTTTAGACAAATGCTCTACTAAGTGATCTTTTAGACAGGTGCTCTACCAACTGATCTTTTAGACAGGTGCTCTACAAACTGATCTTTTAGACAGGTGCTCTACTTACTGATCTCCTAGACAGGTGCTCTACTTACTGATCTTTTAGACAGGTGCTCTACTTACTGATCTCCTAGACAGGTGCTCTACTTACTGATCTCCTAGACAGGTGCTCTACAAACTGATCTTTTAGACAGGTGCTCTACTTACTGATCTCCTAGACAGGTGCTCTACTTACTGAGTTTTTAGACAGGTGCTCTACTAAATGATCTTCTAGACAAGTGCTCTACCAACTGATCTCCTAGACAGGTGCTCTACCAACTGATCTCTCCTGGAACCTGATTGACTGTCACATTCATATGAAATAATTTTCAAAATAAAGAATTCTTGATACAAGGAAATAATTAATATGACAAGATTCTTAAATTCTGACAGCACGGCTTTGTACAGATGAATCTGAACCAGCTACTGACAGACACAATGTAGCTAAAAAAGTAAATAGAGGATATCAATTTATACTAGGGGGAGGAAACTTTATCACAATCTATAAACCATAATTATGTTTCCTTATCCTAGAAAGTCATCTGAATCAGCTACTGACAGACACAATGTAGCTGAAATATAGAGGATATATTCAGAGATGAGGAAACTCATATCACTATCTATAAACCATATTCTGTTTCCTTACCCTAGAAAATGAAAATATTTATACAAATAGTTCTATCCAGTAGCCCATGTATATACATGATGTAGCCATTTTGGTTATATAAATAAACAGATAAATAAATTCATTGCAGAAATTCCATAATTTTTTTCTGCTAACTGCAGTATACCTTCAAATTTAAATTCAGTGGTACTGACATTTTCCTCATTCTGTGTTTAACTCCTCATAACCTTCCTTTGAATGTTATGGTTATATTGAACAAACACTTCTATCACAATACATCAGGATATGTTATAAAAATACATCATCAGAAATATAGACTTATAGACTTGATAAAATGGTTCTCCATTCTCCAAACTGTTAATACACATACACATAAAGAGTGCACAGCTGTAATAAATTCCTAAGAGATATAAAACTGAATAAGTTGAAAGTTTCGTTTCATTTTTCTCATTTTTCTCAGAACAACAGTCTGCAAGTGTTAGTTAATGAATGAATTCTCACACGTTAAATATATACATTCATTATTCAGTTTAATTAATCCAGACTGCTGAACTCAAACATCAGGCCTTCATAGAGCAAGGATAAACACACGAAGTAAACACATTAGACTAAACACCATTACGTTAAATATTCCCTGTGTATTATAATGCAGCACCCTACATTCACATTAATTTATGTTAAACAAACAATTATCTATTCACTCTCCATCCTAAAAATCGATACCGAGACACGTGTGTGAGAATTTAGTTAAGGATACTTACATCTTCTACGAGGCCAGCAGCCATTCAATAAGTTCTCTTTTCTGTTGAATCAACATCCTGGATTCTCAACTCACAGATCAATATAATTTTCCTGCAAGAGGCTGGAAAGAAAAGTGTCATTTGTGTCAAACTCCCAGTTCATCCAGACATCGTCTTTTTCACCCAAGAGCTTAAATTTCTTAGAAATGCGCATATTCTTTCGTTCTCAGATGATTTTTAAACATTATGGAGCCGTGAAAACTGTAGATTTCAGACAGAGTCTGACATGTGTATATAGATCTTCACTTACAGCGCAGAGCATTTGGTGAATTGAAAGTCGTTGAATTGTTTTTTTTTTTAAATAAACTCCACAAGTGATTCAGTGAAATTCTCTATGAGTGAATCTTTCTCTAGTGCAGGCATTAATTTACCGTTTAAATGTTTTTTAGATTGTTGTTTCAATTCTTTTGCAAAAGTACGTTAAATAACCAAATGTTGCACACATAGGTTCATGGTTTATAAATGGTGCAGAGATTGTTCAAAATGTGTAGTTCTAAGATATATAACAATATTTACATATTGCATGGGGAGGGGGGATGGTATTCCTTTGAAATCTTTGTTCTTCACCCTTAGGAATCATAGATCCCTCCTATAGGTTTATACATAAATATACCAGATAAAGACCCGAGCAAGCGCGGTAAATTGAAACGCCTAATTCCATATTTTTTACTGTGGTAGTGTAAGATACATGGCATCCTACTAGCTTGGGCTAGTGGGTTAACCCTTTAGCTCAATTGGTAGAGCACTGGACTGGCAAGCCAGAGGCCCCGGGTTCAATCCCCAGCAGAGGCACAAAATGTCTCTGTTACATTTGGCGCCCACGTTGGGACCTGGGTGTTCTCTGGCGGGTGAAAGTGACTGCCCCCAGAACGTCGCCCCACAGGCGTCGGCACTCCAAAAGAGATGAGGACATCTCATTCTCTGGAGGGGGACAATGTGGTAGTGTAAGATACATGGCATCCTACTAGCTTGGGCTAGTGGGTTAACCCTTTAGCTCAATTGGTAGAGCACTGGACTGGCAAGCCAGAGGCCCCGGGTTCAATCCCCAGCAGAGGCACAAAATGTCTCTGTTACATTACCAACCGATTTTATTAAAGTACCTCCGTATTAAGAAATTTATGAAAACTCTCTCAGTATCAAAATATCACGTAACGCCTTTAAGATCAATAAGAACTTGGATATTGGAGTACGTTATACATTTCGTTTGATAATATCATAGAACAAAAGCATTCAGCGCTATGATTATATACAGTGTAGATTTTGAGAACTTCCAAGTATTAATTATAGAATGTTTAGCGAAATTGAATGTCTGCTGCAGTGCAGATTTCTTTCACGAGAGATCTATATACATCTCTCTCTCTCTCTCTCTCTCCTAAACATGTCCACCTGCAGCATCTGAAGCTTTTCTTAAGTTAAAACCCGGATATAGCATTTGAAGACTTCTACATAATGACCGATGAGAACACTGCTTTTGTCTCACTTTACCTACATTACATTTTTAAATATTTATTTATATATTATTTATGAAGGAAAGAACCTTTCCTGCGAAAAAGATGAAAAGTTCCATTATTTTATAAAGTTGGTTTTAGCTCACCTGAACTGAAAGCTCAAGTAAGTTTTCTGATCACCCGTTGTCCGTCGTCCGTCCGTCCGTCTGTAAACTTTCCACATTTTCAACTTCTTCTCAAGAACCACTGGGCCAATTTTAACCAAACTTGGTACAAATCATCCTTGGGTGAAGGGCAGTTTAAATTGTAAAAATGAAGGGCCAGCCCCCTTCAAAGGGGAGATAATCAAGAAAAGACAAAAGAGGGTGTTGCAGAAACTCGTGATTATTCCCTAAATCGAGAAGGACATTTAAATGCCCACGACGCATGAAGAGTTATCTCTAAATATAGATAATGCTACGTAGCTGACTTTATTTATACGGCGGGTATGTCTAGCTTGTTATAACAAAACATTTCACATTTTATGTTAATATCATGCATAGTTTTCCCTAACATAGACTGGCGACCTGTGAAACTTTTTTCACATCTATAGTCACTGTCGCCATACTGCACGAGAAAAGTTAGAACGATAAAAAGCACAATTAAAGGCAACTGCACCTCGCACATCATTTTGAAAGATGTACTGTAAAAAACGTGCGTTAATATTTTTCAATATATAAAAAATGTGTCCATAATTACGCTATTGATGCAATATCCAAGACATTCCATTGAGTCATTTCAATTTAGTTGTTTCAAGTCAAATCTAAGCCACTAATTAACAGAACAATAATGAAACGAAATGAGTATGAAAAAATTAAATTATTTAAAATGATCGATAGTGCTTTATTTTTTAAGACATTGCCACTTCATAATAATATTAAATGTATGTCTTGTTAGTTTTAGATCACAGGTATCAAGGAAAACTATTTAATTCTGCATGCATTTAAAATATTACCCATCAACTTTCTGACATTCTCTCCCTCTCTCTTTCTCTCTCAAGAGAGTTGTTACATTGTACTTCCATTATAGTGTATAAGAAAAAACATATGTATATACCACACTGTAAAAAATAAGTGTTTTAAAAATAAACACCAATTTGCCACAGATAATAAACACTTTAACACGTTTAAAATTTAACCACTTCGTAAAGTGTTTAAGAAATAAACACGTTAGAATGTTTAAATTCTAAACACATGAGGTTTAATATTTAAATACTTCCTTCGCATTCTGTTTAAATACTAAACACTTCAAAAACACAAAACGTTTGAAGATTAAACACTGAATAAACACAAGGAGTTTACTAAATAAACACCATAGGTTTTTAAAAATTTAAACATTTCATGTTTTATTAATAAACATGTTCAACCTAAACACTTAAACACACTTAAACATGTTTATTCGATGCAACAGATAATAATCACTTAAACATGTTTATACGTCATTTTTTAAACACTTCAACGTGTTTAATTTACAAAATAAATAAACACTTAAACGTGTTTATAAGTTTTCAACATTTTTATTTGAAACAAACATAAAACAGTACAAAACACACTGTTCTTGATGATGAACATGTACATAAAGCTTAATTAATAAATGATTGAATGTTGAATAGAGATTCAAACTTTATAAACAATTATATACATTGTGTATGTATTGCAGTTAATAAATCCAGTTGTACCTGTATAATTTTACTTTCACTAATATTCATAGTTTTAACCAAACGAAGAAAATTTCCAGTTTTTACCTGTAAACGACTTATTCATTAAATATTCTTGCAAAAAGAGCTGCCGGGGTATCACTCACAAAATTTCATATAATATTCTAACCGAGTTAAACAGTCTCCTCTGCTTTTGTGTAAAATCCAGGATCTTCTGCCACGGATGATGATCTCCAATTTTCCATTCTCAAAAATGTTATTCAACCTTAGTATTTCTAAATCCTTCTTCTTATCAGAAATATCCTGAAAATAGATAGATAAAAATATTCACTATGCAAATTCAGAAAATTATCTGTAAAAGAATACATTGAGATAAAAAAAAATTGTTATCCCTTACGCCAATGAATGAACGCCAATTTTAATTATATAATACATACTGAGAAACAAGTTTGAAATAAAAATCTGCAATACAAATAAATCATATTAGCATACAAACAGTGTATACACTAAAAAATTAAATATTAATGTACCTGCAGGAGCAGTCCAACAGCAGCAATTAAGAGAAGGGGGAGGGGGGTACCCAAGGCATTTTCTATCATGTAAACAACCCTTCCCAAAAATGTAAAGTCTCCTTAAAGAATACATGCGCGGACAGGGGATAAAAAGTGTTGTTGTTAACGCTTATGTGTTAAGTAATGTATGGTCAGCAAATAATCATAATAATGCGTGATAGGGAGCATAAATTTTATCAAGGGCAGGTAATTGGATTACATTTACTTAAATTTCATGTTACTGGGAGACCCAAAACTAGTGTAGGCTAGGAAACAATGATGTTTGTGTGTGTGTGTGTGTGTGAGGGGTGTGTGTGAGGGTGTGTGTGTGTAAGGGGGGCGACCCTTTTTCTTTGAAATGCCCTTAACCTCACCTCTCAAGGTTAAGTGTGATCTTCGTTTAAAATCACTTTCCTTTATCAAGTAATGTATTCTTCTCAGGATTCACAATAAGAGATGAACGTCCCTGCAAATTCATCAGATATCGCAATATACTTAAAGACTACAACTATTTTATGCCGACCGCTGCACATGGCCGCATTTGCACTAAGACGATAGGCTTAACAATCCTGCATTTCATAAATGAAAAGCAGTATAAATCTCTGATGTATTAAGCATTTAATTTTCTTCAGATTTTATATAAAGAAATGTATAAATACCTCCTGCTTCCTCGTTAGATATGGTGTTTTTGCCAGTATATGCGTGATTCTGCATCTTCTGCGTTCAAATGGCATGTTATGACATAATCAATTGCGTCATTTTCTATCATAACGCATAAACACAGGTGTTTAATTTGCAATTTCTATATATATACCATGTGTTTAATTTATAAATATATGATGGTTAAGAAATGAACACTCGTGTTAAGGAAGAGATTGCAAGGGTACATGAAAAAAATCCACTCTATGAATTTTTCTCATTTTTACATATAAATTGCCTTACGTTAATGGTATCATAATATGAAAATTTCAATAATGGTCATCAGGGTTATAAGGAAGATATGGTTGCCATGGTAACCAACGTTTTTCAATATTTTGATATTTATGTAGTAAATTTTTAATTATGCCATACAGGTATCAAAATTGAAACAAATTAAATAATTTTCACCAGATATTAAATAATATGCTTTATATTCATCGAAAATAAAAACTGTATCGGAAACTATTGATAGATGTACTAATGCCACAGTTGCTTTGGGGAGTAGTCGTTGTAAATTTGCAGTAATATTTTCACCCCAAGAGCAGTTTTCAACGTCTTGACAAAAAATTGTCCAATGAATTTTCCTAAAATTAATATATTTTGTAACAATTATTATAAGTGACTTATGGTTAAAATATGAAG